GGAGGAAAAGGAAGCAGACCGGAGCGTGTCACAGTTCAGCGCTTGATTTAACGAGTCAAGCAAGAGCACACTATCTTTTACCGAAGGTCCAAGGTCAGGCATATTTCCTTCTTTTTACCATATGTCCCCAACGAAAAGGCGGGGAAAGAAGAAAGCAATCCGCAAAAGAGTTTGCAAGGGAGACATAGACCAACATCTACCGACAGAATTCAATTCAATCCAATCCAGCACCAACCCCCAACGAGTCCACACGCACCCCTAAGTCCCAAGACCGTGACCGCCTACCTCAGTAACAGCAAGTCACAAATCTACCACACCATGACGGACACGGCCACCGCCAACAAGGCTTACTTCAAGTGCGTATAGAGCAGCACCCTGCTCCAGATCACCTACCTACCTACCCACACACCCCCGTGCTTGCAGCACCGATTCAGCCCCCCAATCACGTCTGATTTGCCCACTGTTTCTCTCGCGGGTTCCTGCAGATACACCCATCGCGTTTCCATTCCATAGTCGACGGGAAGGAGGTTTGCATGGTGATACGACGTGCCCTTCGTATATCGATGGCGTCTGGCAAGAGAGGCACCCTATTTCTCATGCCAACCCTCCATTCTCTGACTGACGTACTGTCGCCATAGTAAACTTGCTGCCGAATACGACTCCAAGTACGAGAAGACCATTTTGCAGCTTGAACGAGAGATTCGCAAGCGCAAAGGTTTCATCGGCGTGGACTGGGTCGATGAAGACGACGACGAGGATGAAGATGAAGGCGACGAGGACAGCGGGAAGCCCGCCGCCGCCGAAACAAATCCGGCTACCGATAGCAGGCCGGTGAGACTGCTCGACTACGCTTGTGGCACCGGCCTGATATCAAGGGTAAGTTTGCCTGCCTCGAGTTATGTCGAGTCTCAGCAACGCGCCGGCAGTTCTGTTTGCTTGCGCGTTTGTGTACAACGCTCTCGCCCAAGTTCACGAAACCTGTCTCCCCGACAACAAACACGACAAGAGGGAGGAAGACGAGACACACACTTGGTTCACTTGACTGACAAACATCGCATTGCCCAGGCCCTCGCCCAGTTTACCACGCATTGCGTCGGCATTGACATCTCGGAGAATATGGTGGCCGCTTACAACGCCCGGGCCGAAAACCAAGTAAGCCAAAGCTTTCTTCCGTTGTTTGCTCCTTTGCCCTTTACACACAGACGCAACCCAAGTTGTAAATACACCCGAGTCTCCCGAACGTGGCTGTCTTTCTTGTTTTCGCAATGGTGAGAAGGGCGCAGCAGCAGCAGCGAGCGAGAGCGAGCAGGCAGTGAATTATTGCTGGGCGACATGACACACAGAATCTGTTCGCGTGCGCCGCCTTGAATCTCTGCTCTGGTAACTCCAAGCACAGACGGCAGTCTGGTCCGGTCTCTCGATCTCACCTTGGTCTCAACTCAGCCCTGCTGACCCCCATGACGTGGACGCGGACGGCGGTGCTGTGACCACTTTGACACTCTCATACGCCGCCGTCGCGCACACACACCCGACGGGACCGACGGCGGCTCATCGAACCACCCCTCCCCTTCCCTCCCTGCCTCCATCCCCCTCTCTCTGTACTGCAATTCCCCCTTCCTCGTCCGGGCCACCCTTCCCCCGCGCCCAATGTCATCTCATCACATCCCAGGAGCAGGGCGGGAATGCACGAAATAACCTGTGACCGGACAAACTTCGTGATTACGTTGCAAAAAGGAGTGTGGCCTTCAGCTGACCCCGCAACCTCTTCCGGCACAGGGCCTGAGCACCGACGAAATGCGCGCGTATGCAGGGAACCTCACGGATCCCGCCGACCCGGACCCGGCCGCCTTCGTCGGCGCCGGGTTCCGTGATTTCGACGTCGCCGGCGTCGGGCTGGGTTTCCACCACTTTGCGGACCCCGAGTACTCCGCAAAAAAGCTGGTCGAACGGCTCCGGCCCGGCGGCGTCTTTATCATTCTCGATTTCCTGCCCCATGAGAAGATGCACCACGGTCTGCCGGCCGCGCACACCGTCATGCACCACGGGTTCTCGGAGGAGAGGATGCTTGCCATCTTTGAGCAGGCCGGGGCCGGGAAGGACTTTGCCATGCAGGAGCTTGGGAGCGGCGTGGTGTTTGGCGGGCAGGGACATGGACATGGCGAAGGTCATGATCACAACCACGGTGACGGGCATGATCATGGCCATGGTCACGAACATGATGCACCGAAAGAGGGGATGAAAAGGCGCGTGTTTCTGGCGCGTGGAACCAAAGCTTAGAAGAAGATAAAGGCGTTTAGTCTATGGAAAAGAAAGGATGTCTGGTATGAATCGATCACTCCACGAACATGAAGCAAGTGATGGAATCGATACGCTGGCCTGCCCAATATAAGACTCTACTGCTGCTGCGCTTGGTCCTTCTCAATGATATCGACGGCGAAGGCGCCTCCGAGCAGGATAGCCGGCTCCTCGATGCTGTGGTGTTCGTAGCTGCAGCACACGTGTTAGTGTCTCTGCCAAAGAACTGAATTGCTGCTGCCCGCGAGGATGTGTGATGATACTCACCTCAAGGTGCCGACACCACCGGCCTCAAGCAAAAACGCGGGGCCGTCTTGAAGCGTCTTGCCGGCCCAACGCATGGCGAAGGCTCGTAGGATGTGACCGTGGGCGACGATCAGGACGTCTCCCTTCTGCGCCTCCTTGTCGCCGATGACGGGTTGGTGCCATCTGTCACGGATGTCTTTGATAAGTCGGTCCAGACGTTCCGTGACGTCTTGGGGGCTCCTGTGTGGTGCATGCGGTCAGCTGCGATACGCATTTCACATGGTGTCCTTCACTTCCTTCCCTCGAATGGCCCACGCAAGATGAGTTCTTCAGCAGGAAGCATAGCAACGGGCTGATCCTCCGAGGATTGGGACAAGCGGAAAGTACTCACTCGCCACCCGGGCAGCCATCACGCCAGATGTCCCAGTTCTCGGACAGGCCCTGTTCCTTGCGGATGCGACGGATCTCGGGGGATGTGATGCCCTCATAGTCGCCGTAGTCCCACTCGCGAATGTCCTCGGTGACCTCGACGCAGGCCTCGCACTTGGGTCCGCCGCCCTCTACTTGGCCATGCTTTTTCCAGGGGAGCTCGTCGGTGAGGCCGAAGTTGAGGAGCTCAAATGTGCGCTGGGCACGCTGGCGCGGAGAAACGTAGCTGGTGATAGATTTAGCATCTTCCAAGGCAAAGGCAACACAGATTGAAGTCGACTATTTCAACAAATGTATGCGTAGGTAATGATTGCAACAGCATAAAGGAAGAAGGCAGGCGTACATGTGTGATATCTTCTTTGGCACGATGAGTCGGTCACTTCCCACAAGAGCCCGGCCGGTGGCCCGGACACGCTTCTCGCCGTTGGCCGTCAGGGGAATGTCGGTGGAGCCGGTATGGCGGCCGTTGAGGGACCACTCCGTCTCGCCATGGCGGATGACGAAGGCGCGCGGGGTCGACATTGCGGCGGTGCGGTGCGGCAGAGCCTCTTTTCTCTTGCACACTAACGGGGCTTTGACAGCGGATGCAACCTCGGATGAGATGGGAGGAAGCCGTGGGTTGCGGCGTGACGGGGGGCCGACGGTTGGATGGTGTGGAGGAAGTCAATGCAATGTTTTACGGCACTCCTCTCGTCGGCTGGTGGAGGGGAGACAAGGATATCGAGTTAGTCTGCGTGGCGTTCTGCGGCAAGATGTAGGCAATTCTGTGATGTCCGCGCATGAGAGAGAAATATCGGGCAGTAGAGCAATACCGCCGTAGGGCCGGGGAAGTTGAGACGACGCGCGGGAGAGGCAGATGTAGGTGTCGAGTGACGTGCCCCTCGGCGGTTTGGCTTTCCAGCCGTCCCGCCTTCCCGCGGTTCCGCCCATCTTCAGCCCAGCTCCGCACAGAAGAGCGGGATCTCAGGAAAGAGGGTTGAACCGGTGCTTTAACATGGAACTCCATAGAGTTCGGCAATCGGACATGCGAGCGCCAACTTTGGCTGATGAAGTCGCTGGTCCCAGCCCATCATCCCGCGTCCCGCGATATCAGCCAAGCCAACGAGCCCACCACCAACTGCAGCTGCGGGGGAGGCGGTGTTTGAATCGAACTCTTGTCGTCCTCTCGATTCGACTTGACGTGTGGGAAAAAACAGACAAGCCTTCTTTCCCACGTCTTCCGCGGATCCTCCACCCCTGTATCCTGACCTCTTTTTCTGGTCGCGAGAACGAGACATGATCCGCAACTCCTTTCGCGTGCACTTGCCACAAGTTGCGTCCCATCAGCGGTAGTCACCTGGCTCTGTGACAGACGTCTGGCTTCATGCGGCCAGGAAGACCGGGGGAAGAGAGCAGACAAGTGCCAGAAGAGAGATTCCTCCGTTGCGGTGCCATGAGATGGATGCGTTTCAGCCGGGGTTGCGACGGACAGGGGGGCCGCACACTTGTCTGCTTATTCCCCCCATGCAGGCAGATCAGACAAGACAACACATCCGGGTAAGCCACCGATAAGAGGATATCCGTATGGGAAAAATCCCGCCGTTGTCTGGCGGCGCTTGGTGCCGAATAGAGCGAGCAGGGGGGGAGCAAGTCGTGATTGTCAGGCAGGAAGACGCAAGGAAAGGATGAAGGGTGGAGGAAGAGACAAAAGAGTTGCGGACGAGGGAAGGCCAAGGGGTGGTGGTGGAGGGGGGCCAGAAAGAGCTCTCACGAAGTTTGTTTCAACGCACCAGAGATGAGTGGGCAATGAATAAGCCCGCTGAAATGCTACCGAAGGACAACCAAAAAGGCAGTTTGGTCCCTATCTCTCTCGCTCGGCCGGTCGCTTTGGGTGTTGCAAGCGAGGAAACGCAAAACTTTTTTTCAACACTTCCTCTGTCTCTCTCTCTCTCTGTTGTTTGAAAAGGTAAAGGCACGGGATATATATTAAATAACTCGCTTTTTACTTGCGCTTCTCCATTTACCCAGCGCCTTGCCCTTTGCAATCAGTCATGGCCGACGTCACGCCCGCCGCCGCAGCAGGTCGATTACTAAGGACGCTGGGGCTACCGGAATCACAGCGACAAAGTCTTGGTCTTCAGCGGGGCACCGGTGTTCCCGCTCCCGGCCGCTGCTCACACGGCGTCGCCTCTGCAGCAGTCCACGCTCTCCATTGTTCGACAGAGGAAGCCCCTGAGGCGATCTCGCCAACAATTTCCCTCGAGCTCGAAGCTTGGCCTTCAGAGCCATCGACGCCATCCACCGCCGAGTCGTCCGAGTGCGATTCCGTCGGCCCCTCGACGATCCCCCCGGCCCTGCGACGCAGGTATTCGCACTATTCGCCGCTTGGCAGGTTACGAGGACACTCGCGAACCAATTCCCTCGACTCGACGGCGTCTATCGCCTCGTCTTCCTCTACATCCTCCACGCGGTCACGCTGGAACATCTTCGCGCCGGTGCTGGACGAATTGACGGCCTCAAACCACCGATCCGACTACGCCAGCGACAAGAAGAGCAGGCAGTCAAGAGAGGTTTGGAGGGAGTACTGGTGAACTTTTGCTCGCAATAGGGAGGAGACGAAAAACCAGACACCGTCACAATGAGCGGGTTCACAAAGTTCCGCGCCGGCCTAACCGCTGCCGGCTGCGCAGCCATCATCTTCACGGGCGCAACATACGGCGCTGGGCTCAAGACGCAGGAAGAATGGACGGAAGTGGGTAAAACGCATCTGGTCCACGCTACCTGTATATTGACTCCTCGCAGGAACGACAAAAGTTCCATGGGTCGCCATATGATGAGCAAATTGCGCTCCTGGAGGGCCAGCGAATCCGCCTTCTTTCTGAGCGTCGAAACTGGGAGAGAAAGTCGACGGCATTGGAGGAGAGGATACGTGCGAGAGGAGCGAAGAAGTCAGACAGCTGATCGAGTTGAGACGCCACTCGGCCCAAGTTGCCATGCGATGGCTTGAGGGGGCCCTTGGGTCTTGAGCAGACCTGAACACGCCCCACACGACTTGACAGGGCCAAATGGAAGAGAGGCGAGCGAGAAAGATTTAGTAGCAAAAGAACCGCGAAGCCCGGTATCTTGTCGAATCTACTGCTCGTATATACAGCAGCAGCAAACCTGCATGCACACGTAGTCAGGGAACGGAGACCATCCCGACGAACGGGCGGCAATGTAATAGTAAATGTATCACAGAGATGGGAGCATCACCACAAGCGAGAACGAATAGAGTAATGAACTCTGGCCATTACGTTCACCGACCTGTCTATCTATTCCCTAGTTTCATGTCCCTATGTCATTGTGTCGTTTTGTATGCCACCCATAAGCTCGTTCCGCTCGTAAACGCCTAGGCCGATGCTCTCAGCAGCTTCTCCGGCTGCCAAATTTACTCAGACTTCTCCTCGACAGTGGGCAGTGGGATGGCTCTGTAGAGAAGAATCAGAGCAGAGTGGGACTCGCCACCGCCCGCAAGAGCATCGATCTTGTCTGACGTAACCTCCGAAACCTTGTCATCGTTGAACCACCACCACTTGCCGTCTTCCTCGCCCTTCGCGCCGGTCTTGGGGTCGATAGGGGCAGTCTTCTTGACGTATGCAGTGTAGTGACCGCTATCGGCGCTGGCACCCTGGTGGGTGACGACACCGCGCAGCTCGTAGATTCCAGACTGGTTGGAGCCCTCGTCCTTGGCCAGATCCTGGTTGACAAGTGCATAGAGCTCCTTCTTGGCGGCGAGGAGGGCGGCGTCCTTCTCGGCCTCGACTTCGGCGTCGGTCTTGAATGTCTCCTCCATCTCCACATCGCCATCAGAGGTCGTCGCAACTACCTTTCCAGCACGCTCAGCCTTCTTCTCGTTCGCCTTCGCCAAAGCCGTCTTCTCCTCCTTGCTGGGAGCTCCGGACGCCCCCGCAATGTCGCCCCGGTCGTTGGGGTTGATCTTGCGCCTCTTGCGGGCGCGCTCGATATCCTCCTCGTCCTTTCGGATCTCGCGAACCTTGTCGCGGACGGGGATGAGCGCCTTCTTCAGCTCATCGGTGCAGAACTCGACGACGTCAAGCTCATGGGGGAAAGTGACCTTGCGCATGATCTTGGCCTTCTTCTGGACCTCGCGCTTCCAGAAGAAGCGAACAAAGTGAACAGTGAGGTACTTTGGCAGGCGAGAAATCTGGGACTTCTTGGTGTAGGTGGTGTCTCTGTCCAACACGGACGACTTCTTCTCCAGCTTCTCCGTCAAAGCGGCCAGAATACCATCACGCAAGTGGTTGATTGTTTGATCGATATGGCAGTTGAGCTTGAGGAAGGTCTCGCTGGACTTGATGGGCTCCTCGCCGCCGTCTCTGGCGGCTTGCTCATCAGCCTCGAGTGTAGACTGTAACTCTCCAGCCATGTACCTGTCGATGAAGGAGGAGCCTTCGGACTCGGCAAGCTTCTGCTTCAGCTGAATGAGAATCTGAGACCAGGCCTCCTCGGCATCCTGCTGAGCATATCCGTTTCCTGTCTTGGACTTTTCGGCGAATTGGGGGTAGACCATGCGCAGCGTGCTCAGGAAGGTGAGCGGGGGAATGCTGCCCTGGGTCTCCGACATATTCTTGTAAAGGTCCGTCAGCTGGGTAGCCAGGTCGGTCGATCCCATGCCAAAGCTGCTGCTGCCACCGCCGCTACCCGACTTGTGTGTAGTCAATGCTGTCTGGAGTTCGGGAATCGATCGGAGGGTCTGGAGGGTCGAGTTGAGGTAGCAAGTGTTGCCCAAGTTGGTGAGACCAGCGGGCGTGGCACCCTCCTGTTGGGCAGCTTCGGCTTCGGTCATGTCCTCGACGAACTTGACCGCTTCCTTGGGTCGGGCGAGGTCGGCGTTCTCTCCGGAAGGCTTTCCCATCATCATGAGGGTCGCTCCGGCCTTGAGGCCGAACTTGGCCATGTCGTCATCATCCTTGACCTGCTTGCCCTTCACCAGGATCTTCTGTCGCTCGGGCTCGACGCCGGTCAGGCTGTAAAGTTGATACTTGAAGGTCTCGCCGTTGGACGAAGTGTCGACCTCGACTTGGTACTTGGTGCCTTGGTGGCTAACGGTAACTACGCCCCAGTTAGTAAGCATTGAAGCTGCCGATTGCTCCTAAATGTTCTCACCTGGTATTGACGCCATTGTTGCAATGCTGGCTGAACTTTTTGCGGAAAGGAAAGGAAAGGATGTGTGCGGTATCTAGAACAGAACCCAACTGCAAGAAGTGCAGGTACAGCAGAAGTTTGTTGAAGGCACCAGAGATTTGCGTCAGTACTGGCAGCTGGTGGCAGAAAGATGTAGTACAAGGCAACGGGGGGCATGTAGGCGGGGAAGCGGTGTACCTGCAGGGCCCGTTTCAGCTGCCGATTCGTTTATTGGGATATCCCCTTGTAGCACCCTTTATCACCTCTTATCACCTGCATTCGACCGTCTTCGAACGTCTTCGGAAGGCGAGAGATGCTCCTGTTCGTGAAGGGAAATTTCAATGCATGCGGGCTCAAATATTCTTGCAGTATATTGATAGTGAATCTAGGAATCTTGGCACCCAACCTGGCCCAGATTATCTCCAGAAGCACTTGTTGACTGAAAGTGACGTCGGCTGAACACCTCCATCTCAACATGCGCTTTGGCTTAACGGGGACATGCAACAAACAAGCACAGGCGGGGGATCGCCACTCGGGAGCTTGCTCTCAGATCACGTGGAGAAGTTCGGGGATGACTCAGCAATGTTGCGGTGACAGCTTGCGCATGAGCACGGTCGATGGAGCTCTGCGGCGGTGCTAGTCGCCCCACTACGAAACGTCAGGCTTCCGGCTGTGCCAACCTCAGTGCTCAACCTCACGAACCCCGCGGTCAACATCCAACTCCAACCTCTCAGTATCACCAAGGTTGGACGCGGCCAGGCTTCGCCATCATGGTAAGAGCTTCTGTGTGATATCAGGCTTTGTCTTTTGACTCAATTCGCTAACGTGACTCTGATAGTCTCAATCCTTGCGACCCTACCTCCAGGCCGTCCGGAGCAGTCTGACGGCCGCCCTCACGCTCTCGAACTTCGCTTCCCAAACCGCCGAACGTCACAATGTCCCCGAGATTGAGGCCCAAACCTCCCCCGAGGTCCTCCTGACCCCCCTCACCATCGCCCGCAACGAGAACGAACGCGTTCTGATCGAGCCGAGTATCAACTCCGTGCGGATATCCATCAAGATTAAGCAGGCCGACGAGATCGAGCACATTCTAGTCCACAAGTTCACCCGGTTCTTGACACAGAGAGCCGAGTCTTTCTTCATTCTCAGGAGGAAGCCCATCAAGGTATGCCAGATGCCCCAGTCGCTGGCCGGTCTCGGCGGCAGTTCCATGCCACGTGGCACACGAGCCCCTTTTCCAGAGTTAGGATGCTGATGAGTCTATTCAGGGATACGATATTTCTTTCCTGATTACGAACTTCCATACCGAGGAGATGTTGAAGCACAAGCTGGTCGACTTCATCATTCAATTTATGGAGGAGGTTGATAAGGAGATTTCGGAGATGAAGCTCTTCGTACGTACCACCGATAAATGCAGGGTCACTACGCAGGAGGACTTCATTGCTAACAATCCCCAGCTCAACGCGAGAGCGAGATTTGTTGCCGAATCTTTCCTCACTCCCGTAAGTTGATTTGCTCCTCACACTCAGCCTTGACGTCATTGACTGTGTACCTCTAGTTCGATTAAATACCCATCAAAGCGTAACAAAATCTGAGAGGCTAGTATCGGGAAACAAGTGAATGTTTCCCGCCTACTTCGCCCAAGATACTAGCCAGATCGAGGTTTCGAGCAAGGATCATGAGTTGGAGTTAGATGTTGGCTCGAGCGTAGCCGGAATGCCGGGATCCACATTGGGTCCGACTTCGACATCGGTCCGCAAATCCGGGGCCGTATGGGAATGATGATTTGGGACATACTTGATACACAAAAATTCAGATATGATCATGACCCTGAACCTTCACCGTGCGCTGACAACGTCAAGTCGAGGACCGCATCTTTCTGCATCATCCTGAATCAATGATCTTGCCAAGGTTGTCGCTTACTTGGCAAGAGATGTCTGATGGGCACATCCCTAGCTGCGCTCGAGACTTCCATGCACCTTCGTTCATGTGAGCTGGATGGAATTAGCAAGAGACCGCCTTATTATTCCCTGTGTGCGCGGCTAGATTTCCTGTGTACTTAGTTACTTATATAATGGGCGATAGCAACGACGACGAAAGTGACGATCACGGTGATCCTGACGACGGCGATGACGACAACGACGACGACGAAGATAGTAATAATAACGACGACGATAGCAAATCGGAGTAAGGTGCATAGCCACAGGAGAAGTAGTCGTTTTAGCACAGGAAGAAACACTCAGGCGGTTTCATTAGCAAAGCATTTCGTAGATCAAGTTGCGGTCACAGAACAATGACTTGTCACCCTTCTACCGAATCGGCAGGAACTCGTCAGATATAGCGGCCCAAGCCAATTCTCCACAGTTCCGAGCTTCTGCTGTCTTCTCTTCGGCTTAATTCAGAAGTTTGGGACGGGGTTGGCTGCACCTGCCTTCGTGTCAGTATTCAAGACGAATTCGCCAGCATAGACAGGAACAGTGAGATGTCTTCTTCCTACTGAGCTACGAGTCTGCCGTGATCGTTCCTTCCGTCTTATGGAGAACCTCTGGGTATCTGGTTTTTATCCTCGCTTAGTACCTCCCAGTCAACAACCCTCATTCACTACCGAGCAACCAGAAGACCAATCTCATAGCAACTTTATCGCCCTGCACGGTCCTTTCCCTCCCGTGGTTTCTTTCCATTCCTCTCTACCTTGTCCGAACAACCGCTTTGGTCCTTTTGCAACTGGCACACGCCTACCTTCACCTCTCTCATCACCATCACCATCACTACTCATTGTGTTTGGCCACGATTCAGCCAGCCCGCCAGCGGGATCAAGTCTATCTTCTCGCTGGACTTTGTTTTGTCTTCACAAAATTTGGTTCTTGTCGCAACTTTGGTAAGACTCGCTCTTCTGATCCCCGCCTTCCTTCTCAGTCTCGTTCGTCTGGAACGAGATGTGATCTTGACGAGCAGCTTTTCTCTTCCTTGCAATTTTCACTTTTCTCCCCTCCTCACCTTCTCGCCTCCTACTTGTTTTTAACTTCCTCCTGACTTTGTTCTAAAGAAACTACTTGCGGTCACTGGTGTCAAGAAAACTTCTTGCTCCCATCCCCCAAACAACCAACTCATTCCTTTCTTAACCGACCCTAACTTCCCACACACCTCTGACGACGATTACTATACCTCTAGCACTCGTCTGTATTGGATTGGTAGGTGACCTCTTTTTCTTCCAAAAATCCTTCCTTCCTCTTTTGTCTCTTGCCTTGTTTGGTTTTCACCCGGCACGTTCGGTTTTCCTGCCTTCACTCAAACAGCGGGAACCCAAACTCGTACTTCTTCCTCACTCACACCAACCTCGCCCCTTCACAACCCACCAAAACACATCCTTCCTTCACAATCTTGCTCTCAAATCAGTTTCTGGTTGTATCACACACCTAGGAAGCTGTCTGAGCCGGCTGCCCGAAGGAAGCTATCGCGTCATCACTCCGTCTCTGTCCTTGCCCTGTCGCAAACTTGCGCCTCGCGCGTCTCACATGTAAGAATTCATTCTATCACGGATACTTTTTTTCCCAGTATTTTTGCACTGGAGAAATTGTTGTATCAATCAGATCCGAGGAAGGAGCACTGGGTTTGTCTTGCTCTTGCCTATTTTCTTCACTTTCGTCTGTCGTCCTCTCGGCAACCGAGCACCTGTCCCTCTCATTCACCAAGAGGATTTTTCTCTGCCCACATTGCAATCTTTTCTCTCTATCTTCTATTTTTCGACCCTCCCTTCGGCACTTCTTACCAGCTCAACCCCCTTCCCCTCTGTTTGCTCTTTCCCTTCTTCGCTTCTCCAATCCTGTCGCTGACCTTGCTCACCCAGAACACCTACTGTTCTCCCTCTCCTTGCCGACCTCTGCTCCTCATCCGCTTCTCTATCCTTACTTGTCAGCCTTATTCTTTCGCCCGAGATCATCTGGCTGTCGCTGCTTATATGGCTGCCCCCAAATTTGCCGGCATAGGCAAGGTGGATCAGAAGAAGATGCGCAAGCAGATGCGCGAGATGGCCCGCCAGGGAGCCTTCAAGGTCACCGATCTGCCTCAGACTGTCTCTGAGGAGTGCGAGGCCGTAAACGAGTCTGGTGGTGTACGTCTCAATGGTATTTCCTTCACTGCCCATTCGGACAAGTTCCAAGACAAGGCATCGTCGGACCTGAACCCCACGTCCACCCCTTGGCTTCCTAACGAATCCAAGGTCGACAATAACGACAAGGTATGTAACAAATTCCAGTCTTCACACAGCCAGAGATCGCCATGACTTACAAACACAACAGCTCAACGGCCAAGTCTCTCGCACCCAGTCATTGAACGGAATGACGAGCGGCTCTCACTCGGTCGCAACTTCTCAGGCTGGCGAGATCGACGAGGACCAGGACAAGTCCGACATTATCGGCCAGGTCTCCTCTCCTGCTATCACGACCTTGCCTCCAGCTGTGTACAACAACAGCCAGATCATGTCCGGCTTGCAGTTCGCCCCCGGCCACTGGGCTGCTCCCCAGCAGAATGCTTCTGTCTCTACCAGCAGTGTAGCCAATGGTGGACATCTCAGCGGCAGCGCTTCGATGGGCAATCTCCTTTACCACACCCCCACCCGCCAGAACAACGGTCTTGGTGTTCTTCTCTCCAACGCAGGTAACCGAGCTACTGTCGACACGGTTGTCTCCAGCCCGGTTGGCAATGACACCCCCACGCCGAACAACCTTGGCATGATGACCGAGCCGCGCAACTTTGCTCCCCGCATGACCGACAACTTTGCTCATCTTGGCATGCCGCCCAAGTTCACTTTGAAGAGTGCGGACGGTAACCCTACGACCACGACTGACTCTCATGATCCCTTCGCTGCTCAAGCCAACCAAGGCGGCCCTGTTCAGATGCCTCTTTTTGGCTCTCAATACAACGCTACGCAGATGTTCATGAATGGACAGGCCTCCTTTGGCACCCCTACTGGCGAGACTCTCAACTTTGACAACCTTCCTCAGGATGACCAGTCAGCCAACGCCATGGGACCTAGTCCCCAGCCTTCTGTCAACAACGGAGGCCTAACTCAGAATGCTCAGGTCCACAATGTGCAGAACGTGCCCCTTCAGCATGTTCGTGACAATGGTAACGTCACGACGCATCAGGGATCGACTCAGTCCTACACCAGCCAGGGCGAATTGGTTCCATACCAAGTGGGTTATCCGCCGCGAAATGTCGCGCCTCGAACTGTCGTGACGCCCTACCTGGCCCCTCCCGAGGCCCCTCTTACCAACTACATTCGCAGCCAGCGGTCTCCTCAGCTCAACCGTCTGACGGGTACACCCACGGGTTTCCCCTCTGTCGAGACGGCCCTGAACCATGTCAACTTCCCGTTCATCGAGCCAGCCAACCGCCCGGGCAACTCTGTGGTTCGAGGTGTTGTCAAGATTGGTAACGTAAGTTGGCCTCAAGACTTACTGTGATAACTTGTGCCACAGGTACTGATCAGCTATAGATTCCCTTTGTGACCAACCGTTCCGAGATCATTGCTGTTCTCGGCCGCAACTCCCGCATCCTCAACGATACCGAGGAGCCCGTTCACATCATCATGGAGCGTGTCACTGGCAAGACCACTGATGCTTACGTCGAGTTCCACACTCTGGAGGATGCCACCAAGGCCGTCGAAAAGCATCAGCAGAACCTCAGTCGCGGCAGAATCACTCGCATCGGCCAGCGCCCCGTCGAGATTGAGCTCTCGAGCCAGTCTGCTCTCATGAAGGACCTGTTCCCTTCCTCTCGTGGTGTCTTCTGGAACGGATGCAACCCTCAGGTGCTTCCGGACAACGCTCAGGAGCCTTGGGAGAACTTCAAGGGCTTTGTCTCGAACGAGGAGATGACCATGCTCGTCAAGCACGTCGAGGTGCCTCACCGCGTAAGTCTGTCCCATCCTAATTACCTAAACGGTACCCTAACACACCGCGTCAGTCCCCCTTCTCCAAGGAGTGCCCTCAGCGTCCTTTCGAGTGCCTTATCAGCACCTTGTCCAAGTTCCCTTGGCACATGAAGACGCACATCACTGTGCAGCAGCGCCATGCCATGCACAGGGCCACATGCGACCTGCTTCGTATCCTGGTCAGTAGCATCCGCGACCACCGTGACGAGGTCAACTTGACCCAGCGTCTCCTGAAGCGCGTGGTTGCTGCAGCGATGCGCTGTGAGGGCTTCTCGGCCACCCAGAAGGACGACGTCGCCTACCTGGTTGACATGGAGGAGATGGAGCAGAGGTCTTTCGGACAGCCGCGTTTTGCCGAGAGCTGGCGCCACCTCTATGTGCTTGTGCCCAAGAACGGCGTTCCCCTGGACGTGATCGAGGTAAGCTTCCCACCGAGCGGGACAAGATTTCGTGAAACTTGAGGGTCCAGAGCTAACCGCTTGTGTCTCCAGTGGTACATTTCTGTCATTCGCGACGAGACCAATCGATTCCTTGAGTCGCAGCCGTTCCAAGAGAAGTGCCAGACCCGCGCCGTCGGCGACGCCACGGATGGCTACTTTGGCTACTTCTGGCGTGAGCTGAACCACCCCGTGGGTCCGGTCTTTGACACCATGACTCTGGCTCAGCTGGCCTCTCACGAGTATCAGACGATGGAGTCGATCATTCGTCGTGCTCTGATCACTGCTGACCTCCACCACCGTTCGGCGCTGCCTGGCATTGCTGCCCACTGAAGGGTACGCGTTTATCGAGAAGACAACCCAGCGACAACGGCGAAACTTGATTAGGGGAGTTGCTGCTTTCTAACTGG